AGGACCCTCTGTAAGTTACTTTAAATTATTATTTAAAATTGTCAGCATGAACCACTTGAAAGCGAAATTGCGGCATCCTCTAAAGTACATACGCGGTGAACGTGTTTTATCAAAATCTTGTGGCTTTATAAAAATAATGAGTTTATGAGTTGCATTACTTGCTGCATTAAACCATTAACATTACCGTTGGTCCTGAAAAAGCTGCTGGAGTGTTTGCCGCTTTGAATCACGTACATCGGTATCTGGCCCAAGAGCTCGATTATGTGTGCTATATGGTCTTCGTCTTTGTTGTAAGTGGCCCCAGAGTGTGGGTCGAATAAAAAATCACCGGTAGCCAGCTCGAATGCCTGAAATTTTAACGCGTTTTATTTAAGTACGAATTGTTCATATTTATGACCTACAATAACTACAATATACATGTAACGCGTATTATACGTTTAAACGTTCACGTGTACCTTTAACAACTGTTTATTAAGACCTTAAGCCTTAAGGTGTGTACGATTATACATTTCAAAGCTATGATAAATCATCCAGCTCGAAATTTACGATTCTCAACTATAATAACCGAATTGTTTTTACGCTTTGTATGTTACGAGAGCTTGCTTACATTTTGTTCATACCTATTGGCTAATAAACCTATTTAATAATCGTACATTTAAAGTACCTTTTATATTCAAATTTCAAAAAGTGTTTTGTGAAAATAAACGTAAAATAAAACCATATGGCATTGTAAAATGAATAAAAMCGTTAATATATTATGTATGCATTTAAAAAATATAATATATGATTATAATACTATATACTTTTTTTAATTTGAAATCTATAGAAACATGGTATAATCATTAAATCTGAAAATCTGATGACAAATTTTACATTTATATTAAGCATAGGAAGACTCACAGCGATGCCAGTGTGCCACCTGATAAGTKAAGTTATTATTTTAGGTTTATAAATATTTTTAAAAAGTATTTGTGTTTTTTTAAAGTTATATTTCTTGGAAAAGGTTTATAGTTATTGTCTTAAAGTTGTTATATCACAGAAAACAATATATAATATATTATCAACATAACCATTATACATTAATCATTATTGATAAAAACAAACCAGACAAGCTGTGCTCCAAATGTCCGCAGGTGTGCCGTATCCAGCACCTAAAAGGACTTCCAGACTTCGGTATTGACGAGTTTGAATGTTTTCCGTGTAGTGATTATCCTTCGAAAAATTAAATACAATCATGACAAGTTTTATGTAATCGGTATAAATTATGATTTTTTTTTTGCAATATACAAAATATATACGTCTAATATTTTCAACGTCAGTATTATGATTATGTTACAGCACCGTCAACACCGAGTGTTCAATATGACAGTTTGGGTWTTATACACTCGATGTTAATAGTCAAAAACACTAATGTATGGAGTGTTAACAATTTATTAGCATGATATCATTATTTAACAACGAGAATACAATCATGTTATTAATAATTAAGATTTAAGACACAACAATTACCTCCCAACAAGCGTTACCGAGATCAGCTATTTTGATATTTACACTTCCCAAATCATCCAATAATTCGTATAATTTTTTGAATTTACTAATTTTTCTAAAATAACAATTTGATTCAGCATAACTCTCTAGATAAAACACACAAATTAAAAAATTTAATAAATATTTGTAAAATAATTAGAATAATAATTATATTAGCCATTGGATGGGCGATGATTCCCAGTACCTAATTTATAATTAATAGATGAAAATTTTACCCAGATTTTTTACAGAAAATTATAGTCATCAGATCTTAATAATATTATCTATAATTGTACCTATGCTTATGGGAACCTATTAAAAACAGTTATATCATACAATGAATTATTTTTATCGGGAACCAATTGACAATTCATTCATCTTTATTTTGACCCAGGAACTAATTCGGTATTTACCACTGATATAAATATGATAGAAAATATATATTATACTAACCGCTTTCCATGTCCAATGATTGTTCCGATCGAATTCCTTCTAATCGATAATTACCCTGTAATCTTTCATCAGCGTTATTTTTTCCACATTTTCTGTTGCCTATATAAATGCAAAATTGATAGTAGTTGGAGTTATAGTTTTATATTAAAATCGAACAATTATTTTCAGCTTATGAAAAAAACTCATAAACCTTTGCAACTTGGTGTAATAAAATAAAGGATAGATTCATGTTTCATAAATGAGCATAGTAGAGCAATATTTTGAAAACTTTATGGTGTACATAAATTGCTAATAATATTAATATTTATCGGAATTTGCATGTAGGTATCTACGATTATATTTTTAGACTTATATTAAAAAACAAAATCAATTTTTTTGGAAAACAAGTTTTGAATAAAAATCTAACTTTTTCTTAATGTTTAGGTCGTTTTTCATGATATTTTTAAAAATGTATWACTTTTTACTCCCCGACGTGCCAGAAAAGATTTTGTTGAAGAAAATTAAAAAATTTTTACGGTCCCAAAAGGTGATGACTAGGGAACGGATTTGAATGCAAATTGCATTTTTTTCTGAATGTCCAAAAACATTGGTTTCCAAGCAAAAAGTTCATTTCATACATCAAAGAATTAAAAAATGTAACTTTTATTTTGCATTTTTTGCATTTTTAAGACTTTAATGAATTTTTTGAAATTTGTAGTGCATTTAGTGGTTTTTAAGTCATTTTTTCAACATTTTTTCCACATTCATTCTAAAAAAAAAATTAAAATACCTAAATATGTATTATGTTACGAAATTACAAAATTATTGAAACGTGTATTATGTTACGAAATTACGAAATTATTGTTGACRCGTGTAGACACAAAATATATACATACAAGTTACAACAGATTATTAACCACATTAAGGTATAGAAAAGAGATAAGATACGATAAACTATTTATCTAAAGTTAATTATAGGTAATTAAGGTTGTATTGTA